TGGAGAATTTATATTTAGTGCTTCAGGTCTATCTGCGTTTCTTATAGTTCCATTAGCAGTATTAAGCTTGGGAACCGGAATAATTTAAGTTATAGATAAATCATTAAAACTGTCAGAAAGAAAAGAGGAATACAAGCAAGCATTTAAATGTTATAAACAGCTATTTAATCTATTCAAAGCTGGAAGCATATCAGAATCTCACGTGTATTTGAGAGAAGAACGGTTTAAAAACATGAAATATTTTCCGTTAGAGAAATATACAAAGAAAGCACAACTGAATGGTTATAAATTTTTGAATAAATAAATGAAGAAAAAAGATGGTGATATTGTTGAGTAGTCACAAGATAAAGTGAATCCACTTGAAATGCATATACCTGGATACCAATATTGTGGTCTCTTTACAAAAATGGAAACAAAATTAGAAAGAGTTGATTCCAGAATAAATAGAGTAGATAAAATTTGTAAAAAATATGATATTGCTTATAGTAAATCAAAAAATACAGCTGATAGACATATATCAAATCAAGAAATGCTAAATGAATTAAATCTTATTGATAACTTATCGAGTGGCATTTATCCACTTGGAGAAAAACAAACAAGAGCTGTTATAGAACTTATCATTAGTGCAAAGAAGAGATTCGGCCTTGGAATTTCTCCCAATATAGATTATATCTATTATTTAAAGTGTAAAAAGAAAACAAAATCAAATAATATTATAGAAACGAAAACAAAAAATAATATACTTATAGCAAAAGGAACGTGTGTTGTTTGTGGTACTAAAAAAGCAGTTTTTTTATGAGTTCGAGCAGAGATGTTTATTATAATCCAGAAACTGGTTACTGTGGTATAAATGAATTACAAAGAAAGACTGGTTTACTAAGAAAACACATCTTAAAGAATTTTTACATCAACAGGATGAATATACTAAACATAAACCAATTATAAGAAAGTTTAGTTGAAGAAAAACTTTTGTTTCTCACATTGATGATTAATGGCAAGCAGATTTAGTGGATATGCAAAAATTAAAAAGATATAATGATAATACTAATTATATATTAACTGTTATTGATATATTTAGTAAATACGCTTGAGCTATTCCAATTAAAATGAGAACAGGTGAAGAAATATCCAAAGCATTTACTAAAATATTTAAGGAAAGAAAACCGGAAAAGCTACAAACGGATAAAGGAACTGAGTTCATCAATAAAGTGACGCAACAGTTGTTCAAATATAATAATATTAATTTGTTTACTACAGAAAATTTAAAAATAAAATGCTCAGTAGTCGAAAGATTTAATAGAACTCTAAAGATTAAAATGTGGAAATATTTTACTGCTAACAACACTAAAAAATGGATAGTGTGAGACCCGAAAGGCCCCTGGGCCTAAGTTGATAAATTTTATTAATAATGGTAAAATATCGACACAAAATATTACTTCATTTTTGTGAAAAACTAGTGTTTTGGACGTGGGAGAAACCAGATAACAGATGCTACTTCCTTTCACAGAAGAGAACATCCTCTGACTTTCCCTTATCTGGTTAAAAATCTCACTCAGATGAGAAATGGTTACCCCTCATTCATTCCCTTTCATCCGCTCACATGAACGAATTTCAAGCATATGATTGGTCGAAATTCAGGAGATATAAGGGAAATTAGTCCGAATTCGGGGAGTTCTTTGACAGATCCTAAGCGTCAAACTCCACACAGTTTTCCTCCTGATGACCAATGCCCATAAACGAGTCTCATAGACTAAGTCCCGAGTCTGAACATAGTAAAGATACTTTTATATTTGTGCACATATCGTTCTCCTATGTTAAGAAGTAAATGAACTTTTTCTACAAGGAGTCCTCTGCCACTACAGATGAAGACAAACGACGACAACCAAACAGGTCGTATGTTTTAGAATGATTTTGTGAGCTCTCTCTCTCGAACGCGCATCAGCATAGAATAAGTCTTTGCCTATATCTTTTAGCTAATTGTCGTTCATCGATTATTTGTATTCGTTTTGTTTTTGAATTATTAAATCTACTCTTGTTAAATTTACTTAAATGTCTCTTGAATTGATTCCGAATCAGATCGCAAACGCGTGTTTGTCCACAGAACTTAATTGACAAACTGGTGTCAGTCCTGACGAGCATCTGAACTTCGCAGTTCGGATCAACTAGCGGTTATCGCTCTCCTATGAAAGTTTAGAGAGCCGATCACACGATCGTGCGCCAGTAAGTGATATAGGTAATTTACTTATACCCTTGGCTACTCTCACAATAGACGTTTTAGATAGATTAGTTAAAAATTATAATAACCCTTATCACAGATCAATAAAAATTACTCCTGTAGAAGCAAGTATAGAAGATAATGAATTGAAAGTTTATGGAAATTTATTTAAAGCTAAAAATATTCTTAATCCACCTAAATATACAATTCGTGATACAGTTAGAATATCTATATATAAACAATCATTTAAGAAAGGTTATTTACCCTCCTTCACAGAAGAAATATTTATAATATCTGAAGTCATGAAGACAGATCCAATTACTTATCGAATTAAAGATTTAAATTATGAAGATTTTAAAGGAACTTTTTATGAAAATGAATTAGTAAAATATAATAAAATAGAAAAAATAATTAAAAAAAAAAGAAAATAAATATTTAGTTAAGTGGTTAGGATATCTGAATTCATTTAATAGTTGGGTCTGATATTTTTTTATATTAACTTCGTTGTCACTGAAAAAAATTATTATGATGCCACTAATTACTTAACTAGTGCAAAATATTCCATTGTGCACCAATTACATTCATCCATCTTTTCTCCCTGCCCCCATGTCCAGACAGCAGTCTTTCCAGATACTCTGACTTTCACTGGACCTTATTACAGACAGGCATTCTTGGGAGAAGAAATAGGAGTTTATTATGAATGTAATGTTGTAGATATAGCTGCAGCACCCACCACTAGAGTGAGAAAACTACACAATACCATTGTCCTGCTAGCTTAAGGACCCATCCACAAACAGTCTGCAGTAAGTAATAGTATAGACACATCTGATATAATATATAATATATGAACTGAACGGAATTTATACTAACCACTTCTTCGGCATCAATATTGATGGTGTGGTTTGATTTAGTATCATTTCTCTATTATTGTAATGTAAATAATTGAATCAAATTTAGTGTATTGTTTAATTAGAATATGAACTAATAAATTACTAAGTAAAATGTTTATTAAATAATATTTAAGTGTTTTTATTAAATAAACTTTCTTAAGATTTTTTTATTTTTAAACACGTCATCAGTAAATGACCTTGTTATCAACTTACCACATGTGAATTATTTTTAAATATGACGTCATCAGTAAACGAGGTCACGTTCTTATTATTATGAAGCAAGATATTAAACAAAATTTTTTCCTTATTAAATGAAGCAGTGTAATCGTTTTAAAATAAATAAACCCTTCGAAGAATATAGTAAAGATAATCATTCTAAAGATGGTCATTTTAAATGGTGTAAGCAATACTATAAAAATTATTATGCTAAAACTAAAGACAAAAAACGAGAATTAATCAAATGTGAATGTGGTAAAAAATTTTTAAATCATACTTAGAGAAGCATATGAAAAACGATATTCATAGAAGGCGATTAAATAAAATTAAAAAGTGTAGTGATTGTAGAGAGGAAAATTCTTTAGATGAATTTCACAAAAATAAAAAAAATACTGATGGATATGGTTATATTTGTAAGGCGTGTTTAATGTTGAAAAAATATTGAATGTTTTTTTCTTCTTAATATATGGAACAAATATTACAATCACGAACGCTTCGTGAATTGCATCAATTTTGTAGAGAAAATAATCTTAGAGGTTATTCAAGATTAAGGAAAGCAGCCTTAATTGATTATATAGAGAGATATAAATTTAGTAATATATTTAACTTTCATGATAATGTTATAACAAAACAAAGACAACAAAGAAAAAAATTATATTTAGTAACTTTCATGAAGATATTATAACAAAACAAAGACAACCAAGAGAAAAGCAAATAAAATGTGGCATCTGTAATCATTACAGTAGATCCCCCTATAACGCGTAGATACGTCTCACGTTATACAAATTTTACGTTGTAGGAATCCTTAAATACATGAGTCAATCGCAGCCTGACACGTGTGAAGTTTACGGACTACGGCTGTTTGTAAGGTTTTCTTCTATAAAATTAATCGATTCTAGACTAATTTGACTCAACATTTCCAAAACACATATAGTTTTTTGGGAATAATCTGTATAAACTATGCTATAAACAAAAAATTGTAGGATTACTAACCGAGTGTGCACCGTTCGACGTCGCCATTGCTTAAGCTTATTTCGTCGCGGAGCAGACACTAAACGGCGGCCGCGACTTCTGATAAGTTATTTTTCTGCAAAAAATTCGTTGAACTTCGGAGACATCATTAATATAAATAATTTTAATGGCCGTTGAATAAGAAATGTTTCTTTCACAAGAAATATATAAAATTACAGTACTGTATTAGACTTACGGTACCTAATTTGCATACTGTACAGACGATAGTAAACTCAACTTACCCGCCTAAACTCTAGCGTGGCGCTGGACAGCAGAAAGTATATATATAATTATAATAAAGTTACAATAAATTAAGTTAATATATAATTATATATACAGTACCTAATTTATATATAATTTATATATAATACTGTACAGACAATAGTAAAATCAATTTACCTGCCTAAACTCTCTGTAGCATGGCGCTGGACAGCGGAAAAGAGTTCGGCTGCTCGTCCACTATTGATCCAGATTCGACCAATCCTGTCGCGACACGAGTCGGCGACGACGTTTTACGAGTCCCTTTTAGCATCTTTATACGAATACTGTCGCAATTTTTTTCGGCACATTATAGGAATTTCCGTAATAGGAACCCGCGTTATAGGGGGGTTTACTGTACTATAAACCAAGCAAAGAGAATCTCCACATTAAAACAAGAAAACATAAGAATGCCTTATATAATAGTGAAGCTATCCAAGATTGAGACAGCATTTGAATCAAGATTAAAAACGTATTCGATTAAAAATATATCTAATCATATCATACCAAGAGAATTTTTAGAAGATGTGAAAGAGATAGTAATTAGAAAGATAGAAGAGATACTGAAAGAAAACGACTTGACAGTAAATTTCAAATTTTTCTGTGAGTATGAAAGAGAAAATGAGAGCAGAGGCTTTTCATTTAAAACTGAGAATTTTGGAAACAAGGAATTTGAATACTTCTTATGATAATGTGATTGATAAACTAATAAAAGAGATGGATGAATTTGAAGCAAAACGATCTGGATAGACTTTAATAGAAATATATAATTTAGAGTTAAGTATTAATAAATAAGTTTCATCTAGTAGATCATCTTACATTGAATTAGCAAAACAAATCAAAGAAAAGAAAGCTGTATTGAATATTAAGAATGAAGATGAAAAATGTTTTGCTTATTGCATCGCAGCATATTCAAATCCAGTAGGTAGTAACAATCATAATCCTGGTCGAGTTAGTAATTACAACATTGATGAAATTAAAGAAAATCTAAAAGGAATCAAATCACCTGTTGCTTTACAAGATATAGGTAAATGTGAAAAAAGATTGAATATATTAGTGAATGTTTATAGTTATGATGAGAAGAAAGTAGTATATCTTCTAAGAATAACAAAAAATAAACAAGATAAGCGTGTAAATCTATTATATATAAAAAATGAAGAAAAATCACATTACTGTTCGATAAAGGATCTATCTAGATTAGTCAGATCACAAATCATAAAACATAGAAGAAAGATTTATATATGTGAAAGATGTCTAACATATTTCTATTTAGAAGATACTCCAAAGAACCATGAAATCGATTGTAGACATAAAAAGGCTGTAAATATTGAAATGCCAGAAAGAATATTTATTGTCTTTAAAAAAACCTATAATAGAAAATAAATTAGGATTCCGTTTCTGATATATGCTGATTTTGAATGGCTAACTAAGAAAATGAAAACATGTCAACCAGATCCATCTAAGTCTTTTACAATTAAATATCAGCATAATGAACCAATGAGTTTTTGTTATTACATAAAGTATCTAAATGGAGAATATAATTAACCAGTTGTATACAGAGGACCTGATGCAGTAAAAAAAGTTTATAGAGATGTTGAAGAAAGAAGGTAAAGAAATTATAAAGATATACAATGAAAATAAACCATTAATTATGACAGAAGACGATAAAGAACACTTTGAAAATATTTATATCTGTCATATATGTGGTTGGATGCTATCTGATAAAGAAGAACAAAAAGAAAAAAAAAGTTATAGACTATGATCATTTGACAGGAAGGTTTATGGGCCCAGCACATAGTGAATATAATTTAAAATATCAAAATACTGCAAAACCCTGACTTTATACCAGTATTCATTCATAATCTAACTGGATATGATGCTCATTTATTTATTAAGGAACTTGGATATGATGAAAAGAAAATTGAATTGATACCAAAGATATATATCATTTACAAAAATAATTGAAAAAAAATGAAACGGTTTTTTGATTCATTTAGATTTATGGTAAGTAGTATTGATAAACTCTCCTGTAATTTGAAAAAAGAACAGTTCAGAGAAACAGCTAAGTTTTTTCCTAATCACCTATTAGATTTAGTTATAAGAAAAGGTGTTTATCTTTATGACTATATGGATTTGTGGAAGAAAGGTGAAATGGATAAACTTCCTCCAAAACAAGAGTTCTATAGTATAATAAATGAATGTGGTATAACAGATAAAGATTATGAACATGCACAAAACGTATGGAAAACATTTAAGATTAGAAATATGGGTAAATATTCTGATTTGTATGCGAAAAACAGACGTTCTAATATTGTCTGATATATTTGAGAATTTCAGAAACGTTTGCATAAAAACATATAAACTGGATCCAGCATGGTATTACACAGCACCTGGATTATCGTGGGAAGCTATGTTAAAAACAACAAAAGTTAAATTAGTATTATTAATTGATTATGATATGATTTTGATGATAGAAAAAGGAATCAGAGGTGGAATCTCCCAATGTTCAGAAGATATGGAAAGGCAAATAATAAGTACAGTGGTACAGTACCTCAGGATACGAACGCCCCAGCATACGAAATTTTCAAAATACGACATGAAATTCGAACATATTTTTGCTCCACGATACGAACAAAAACTCGCCATACGACGTTACATTAGTTCGCAGCATCATTTTTTTTCACTTCAGTTCATTGATCTCAGTCCGCGTGTTTGCTTGGTCGTGGAAGGATTTCTCTCGATAAAGGAAATCTCGAGGTATTATCAGAAAATGACTGATTTTATTGAAAAGAAACATCCCGAAAAGGTTCACACTGGCCGCATTGCTGCTCGGAGTAATGACATTTGCGTAAGTCATTTTAGAAACATTTTAATAAGTAGGCAAAGCCAAACCTCTTTGGCTTTGCCTACTTATTCTATTCTACCAAGCGACCTCTATCCAGTGAAAGTGCTGGTGGAAGTGAAGGAAATAAAGCAAAATGCAGTGAATAAGAAATTTAAAAATATATATAAAACAGAAAAGATAAACAAATTAGTGTTAAGTTATTTTTAAGTTATTGTTACATTATGTTATGTAAGTTAAGTTTTAGTATTATTTCCTTTCTCCCTTTTTTCCGCCATCAGTTTACACCTCCACCATCGTCTATCCTCATAGGTAAAGTGCAAATAAAACTACATTTTTTTTAAAACAATTTTATTTTATTATGGTTATTTATACATTTACAACTACAAAATGCATTTTTTAGTGTTTTTCTTACTATTTTTTAATGTAGTACTTAGCTTTAATTCGAGTGTGTTTTTCGTGTTGGAACGAATTATTTGGTTTTACATGTATGGGGAAAAATGATTCACCTTACGACATTTTTATGATAAGATCTCAGTTTCGGAACGGACTAATTTCGTATCATGAGGTACCATTGTATATGAAAGATTATGATAAAAACAAGGAATCTAATTATTTGATGTATCTAGATGCTAATAACTTATGTGGATGGGCTATGAGCCAATATTTACCTTATTGAGAATTTAGATGGATTAATGAATATAAAGATGTAACACAGATACCTGATGACTCAGAGATTAGATATATATTAGAAGCTGATCTAGAATATTCCAAAGAATTACATGATTATCATTCTGATCTACCTTTAGCTCCAGAGAATAGAATACCAGATGGATCAAAACAATCTATGCTGTTAACCACTTTATATGATAAAGAGAAATATGTGACTCATTATAGAAATCTAAAACAATATTTGATTATGAGGATAAAACTCAAAAAGATACATATAATTTTAAAATTTAAATAATCAGANTAAAGAGAATTATGTGACTCATTATAGAAATCTAAAACAATATTTGATTATGAGGATAAAACTCAAAAAGATACATATAATTTTAAAATTTAAATAATCAGATTGGTTGAAGAAATATATAGATCTGAATACTGAAATGAGAACCAAAGCAACTAATGATTTCGAAAAGGACTTTTTTAAACTAATGAACAACTCTGTGTTTGGAAAGACAATGGGAAACATAAAGAAGAGAGTTGATATCAGGTTATGTTGTAAAGCAGAACAAGTAGAAAAATTAATCGCTAAACCAAACTTTAAACATCGAACAGTATTTGCTGAAAACTTATATGCTATTCACATGAATAAGACAAAAATATCTTTTGGTAAACCCATCTTTGTGGAGATGAGCATATTAGATCTTTCGAAGCATTTGATGTATGATTTTCATTATAATGTGATGAAACCAAAATATGAAGATAACATAAAACTGTTATGTCAGGATACGGACAGTTATATATATAATATAAAAACAGATGATGTTTATCAAGACATGAAGAAAATGATTGATTGCTTAGATACATCCGATTATCCAGAGAATAATCAGTATGGTATACCGAGAGTTAATAAGAAGGTGTTAGGTAAAATGAAGGAAGAAAATAATGGAAAAATAAAAAAAGAATTTGTTGGTTTAAGAGAAAAATGTATGCCTTAAAAGTAGAATATCAGGTTGCAAAGAAATCAAAAGGAGTAAAGAAATGTGTTGTTAAAAATAGGATATCATTTGATTATTATAAAGACTGTTTGCTTAATAAAACAGAGCATTTTCGAACAATGAATCTAATTAGAAGCAAGAAACATGAACTTTATTCAATAAAAGAAAACAAGAAGACTTTATCACCACATGATGATAAGAGATATATATTGGAGGATGGAATTAACACATTAGCATTAGGACATTTTGAAAAAAATGGTAAACAAGAAAGGTCATAAATTTTTTTCTTATATAAATGGACTCAAGAATAAAGAGAGCTATTAATTGAAATAGTTTTTCTAAACGAGAGAATTTAACAGATCTAATAAGAGAATTTAAAGATGAAGTTAACTGGGATTTGATTTCAATATTTCAAAAGTTATCGAAACGTTTTATAAGAGAATTTAAAAATAAAGTTAATTGGGATTCAATATCTCATAATCAAAAATTGTCTGAATTTTTTATTAATGAATTTAAAGATAGAGTTAACTGGGAAAAAATATCAGAAAACCAAAGTCTCTCTGAAAATTTTATAAGACAACATGAAGATAAGGTTAATTGGAAACTCATCTCTACACAT